GTAACAATACTAGACGTGAATGGTCATGGTTAAATGAGCAAATATGTAGAATAAAAGTAGTAGGATGATTATTGTCAGAGAACTGGTATGCGCAAAAAACTATCGTTTATTTGACTAAGATTATAACACATTTGTTTCAGTGAACAATGATCATGGTAAATACAGCAATACGATCGACACAACGATTCGTGGTGTCCATCGTATTGATGGTGAAGCAGAGAGGCACTAGATCGCGAAGAGTCTGGAGGATATTTATCAGAAAAATACGCTCTGTTGTACCCAACATCAACGCAGCGTAACTAGAATAGTATCACCTTACACCAGGCTGAACTCGTTTCGGAACGTGACACATTTCTCCTTTTTAAAGTCTCTTTTAATTCTCTGTTGACAGGCATAGTATCGTAGAAACGGGATGTGAGCGGGTGAGTGGGTTCCCTCGTGAGAGCATTGGGTTGTTTTTTCAGATTGCAAGCATCTTTACATCGATTATCATTTTCATTTGGATGTTATCGCTAGTCGTCTGAGTATCATTAATCATTATGGTCAAGCGCCTTTCGAAAGGTTTCTTCTTCAGTTTCATGTATAGAAATATATAATCGAATGCATCGCATCAACTGATGCAAACGCGAGGCTTTGAAACTACTTTGTTGCTGTTAGCGGACCGGTCCGTCATCGCTAACCATAACATGTGCATAGTGATGTTTTATTCCTTTTTCTGTTCATCTCGTTTATTTACACGTAACTTATTCACTCTTGTACATATATATATATGTACGTACAATACATATAGATGTGCTTATATATGTACATTAGTCCGCCGTTCTTTTCTCTTTGTTTTCATTTATATATATACAGGTGTTTATTCATTTTGTATTCACAGTTATCTTACTCTATTTCATAATAAAAAGACATTCTCACTCAATACACATGATTTTTTTACAAAATGTATGACTGATATTTATTTTATGTTTATATATATATAGGGTGTCCGTAAAGTCCTCAGAGTTAGAAAATGTTCAATGTTTTCGTCATTCTTTACCCAAATGAGCTGATTTTTTTTCTGAGTATAGTAAGCGGATAGAAGTGTCTATTCATCACAAAACAGACCATTGGTGCGACTTGCATACATCTTGAAAAATTATAAATGGAATGAATAATGTTATGTGCTCTTCCATCACGCAGGTCATTTTCTTACCTTATCTTCTTTTCTCGAGGTTTTATTCTTTTCTTTTCTTACTTAGATCCATTTACTTCGCTTATATGTATGCATGCACATGCACATATCTATGTATTAGTATACTCGTTAAATGCATGAAAAGAAAAAAGTGAGAAAATGGTCAGGTTCAACGAGTGGTTTACGTTTTGTACAAAATAAGACGTCATCGTAGCGAATTACTCATTTCATTAAAGAAAGTTTGCTGGCTTTACGTTCATATATGGTCTGTCTGCATTGAATAAACACTTCTATTTACTTTCCACATTCAGAAAAAAAGCAGCTCATTTGGGTAAAGAATAAAGAAAATATTGAACATTTTCTAACTCTAAGGACTTTAGGGACACCCTATATCTATCGAGATCAGTTAAGTAAATATTCTGTTAAGTAAGTTGGTTGTTATATTATACACCAACAGTTGCTGAGATCCACATGTTCCAGGACATACCTAAAAGAGATCCACATCAGAGCTACTACAGTTAAGCCACAACCCAAGGTGCTCAATCGCGACTTGTGCAACTGTGACGAAAGGCGCTTGACCATAATGATTAATGATATTCAGACGACTAGCGATAACATCCAAATGAAACTGAAAATAAGGTTGACACAGAAAAAGAAATAGCACAGTTCGAAGAATACCTTAGGGATTTATTTCTGTGGAGTTGTGAAGAAAAGCCAATAGTGGTCACCTGTGAAATTGCTGATGGAAACTTCTCTCGATCTGGCTCAGTTATCTGACGAAGTTGCATTAGATGCTCAGCCACGGAAATGATGCTCTTACGACGGAACCTACTCAGGTGTTCACATCCGTTTTCTATGATGTTATGCCAATAAACTACTGTTCTTGACAATTTCAAGATTAATAATAAATTGGATTATTGTTTCAGATTGCAAGCATCTTTACATCGATTATGATATTCTTAAGATTTCTTCTTTCTTTTGTTTAAGATGCTTTGAAACGGAAACCGCAATATAATGTAAGGTACCGGTTATAGAAAACACCATAGACGAAAAGTAGTACGTAAGGTGCATTTAGAACAATCATGCACATCAATTTCTTTTTGCTTTATTATACATATTCTTGTTCAGAGAATCGAGCTGATCACAAATAAAACTTTCGCAGCCCTAAAAAACCCCTTCTTCACTGAGAAAATCTGAAAAGCGTTTTTCAGACCTTCTTAGTGAAGGGTTTTTGAGGGCTTGGAGGGTTAAATTGGTGATCAGCTCGATTCTCTGAACAAGAATATGTATAATAAAGCAAAAAGAAATTGATGTGCAGGATTGTTCTAAATGCACCTTACGTACTACTTTTCGTCTATGGTGTTAAGTTTGTTTTAAGTGCATCTTACGAACAACAGCAGAGGCATTATCTACAATTAATAATAAAATACGCTTTTCTTCTCTTACCTTATCGCTGATACGATAGTTTTCAATGGATAAACAAGAATCGTTGCTAGCTTACGAAGGTCGTATTTCGGTAGGGTTAAAAAGTCGTTCATGTGTAACGAAAGTTTGGTTTGACGTTGAGTTTGCGTCGAGCGTAACAGTCAGCAGTGAAATGTATATGTCTGAATGATTATGTGTTTGAAGGCTCTTCTAACATTTCGATATATCAAGTTGACTGAGGCATATTGTACAAGGATAAAGTGGTGGGATTTTCCTCGAGATAGAGCACTAATAATTATAATGCTTGGTAGATTGGATTTAGAAATATCGATATCGACGGAAATATGCATACTGCTTGAAGTAATTGAGAAGTTTAGCCTGGGAGTGGATTGATTTAATATCTTCGCGGGAACTCGAGTTTCTGGTATCGAAAGTCAGCCTTTCCATCCCTTACTATTCATTGAAAATCTTATTAGTATGACTAATAAAACTTACTGTGAAGACCTGTGGTATAAAGGTAAAACGTCTGTTTGTGCTGGCGCCATTCCGATATGAATCTTACTTACCGCATGAGAAATATGTAAGGTGAACAACAACAACTGACCCCATTTTTTTTTAATTCTTTTCTATATCAGCAAAAGCTTTAAAACAGACGCTTCGACGCCAAACCGTCCCGCTACCACCTGATGTCATATTCGGGTTCAGTGTAAAAGTCTAAAAAAGAAAAACTACGCATTTAGCTCTTTTATTGTCGAAAACTACAAATAATATTAAGGAGAAAAGGTAATAGTGCATCGTCACCCAGACCAGATACGAGAATAGATATTGTAAAAGCAGAACAAAGATGATACTTATTGATGTAAAGCAGAACATTATCTCCATCATTTTATCAATGTCATTTTATTTCTATTAACTTCAACCGAACATTCTAGGCTATACGAATAAAACAAAGAGAAATAGTCTTACTTTAAATTAAAAAGTTTAATCAGTTTTCTGTTGGAAGAGGGTATTTTATATAATGAAAGGGTCAGCGTGAATAAAGAAATAGTTCGATGAATATTGTTTACTATTATTGTTGTGGTGAAAACACAAAGCTAATTTTGTCTGCATAACCATCACCGTATGCACCAATATATTGATATAATGATATTTTCAGAACCATATAAACTGTGCCCAACGCTACGCGTCCCGTGATACTGCGAATCATAGATCGGATACAAATCTGAAACCCCCAAGTGTGTAGGAAATAACTCTATCATTTTTTGTGAAAAAAACGTTACTACCAGATCTGAGCGATTCCTTTCAATGCCATATCCGCCAAGCCAGCCAGTTAAATTAACTAAGAATGTTTAATTAACCATATACGATTAGCACGTAAATTAGCAGCTACAACAGTAAGAAGTACATAGGTTGAAACTGGTGTCAACGTTTGAACTCGTTGACTGTGTTTGAGATGCATTTTGTTGCCGAGTAACAGAGGGAAGCAATGTATGAACCTGTATTTACTGTTCATCTTTCATCATAGACATGGTCTCTTTCTGTGAAACTTTATCGTAGACACGGCTGCAATCATTAGTTAACTCATAGGCTCCAGCGCGTCATTTGAAACAAGAGAAGCGCGTTCCGATACGTAAACATCGTTCATGTTTATAATATCCGGTTATTTTCTTCTTATTCACTCTACTCTCGACAGAAACTTTCGTGGGCTACAAACTGCTATATACAATATCCAGACGTATACTCGCCAAGGTCAACATCGTTCGTGTTTATAATATCCATTTACTTTCTCATCACCCCAGACAAAAAGTTTTTGTGGAATCTTATAAGAATCTTACTCAATTCTTATATAAGATTCTCCATGAAAGTGGCAATAGTTCATAAGAAATTGGTAAGAGTCAGCAAAACTCGTACGTTGTTCTTGTCAGATTCTTATGAATAACAATAGAGTCTCAAGCAAGGCTGAAAAGATAAGTGGAATGCCTTATTGTTGAAAAAGATTAAAAATTCTCAAAGCGAAGAAAACTTCGGCAATGGAAAGTAACCGAAAACAGTGAATAAGAAAAATTCGTTGATTCTAATACATGCCTGAACACATTCACCCTTATAAATATTCATCTATTTATCGACTTGTCAATTATATAATCATCATCAGTCACCCTTACCTCGTCGATTTTATTGAAGGGTCAGTCTTTTACATAAAACATCTTTGTCTGTTCTTCGATTTATTATTTATTATTGAGTTTTTCTCATCCTTAGAAAGATGGGCTGCGTCGGAGAATCCAACAGAAAACACTTTGGAGCAGTATGGGGCTTGAATGATTAGTGTTGTTTATTTGATTACCAGCCCCAACAAATTTTTCAGTCAAGCTGTACATTAGAGTCTACTAGAAAGCGATCAATACTAACAACTAAATAACGATAGTTCATACAATGGTTGCTGATTGATATCGAACATAGATGATTTTGAAAACAGAATATTTAATAAGTGTCTAAATTGTTTATCCATTTTAGATATTGTTTTTTCAGTGAATAAATCGGTTGAATAGTTCCACAACAGAAAGAATCGCTGTGGTTGACCTGTGTCGGAAACATCGTGTTTCACAGAAAACAACAAATCAAATTTTGATATATGTGCAGGACGATCTGCGTCAGGAAGGAACTTACAAACAGCATCTTCGAGAACAACTTCATCAATTTTATATGTATCAGTTTCAAAGAAAAATACGGTTGAAGAAGTACGATCCATACGTGGATTACCACTGTATTGTATATTTAATATTTCTGGTAATGGTAATTTGGAATGTTGTAGAATATTAACACAATTTCCATGCACTTTTGACAACAAATCAATAAATGACATGTTTGGATCAATAGCTAATCTATATGGGAAAAAACTTAGAAACATACCAATCGCATATTCAATTTCTGGACGATAACGATTTGCAGTGATGCTGTCTATGAGTACATCATTATCATCTGTTAATTTATAAATGAACAAATGATAACAAGTTAAAAATAATTGAAACATAGACACGTTATGTTCTTGCACAAGTGTCAACATACTACAAACCAATTCCTCATCTTCAATCGAACTGCACAGAGTACCACCAAAACCGGATCGACCAACAATTTCGACAGTTTCACGATAATCGTATGGTAAAACTTTGTTAGGTTTATTTATATCATATCCATTGAATATCGTTTTCCAAAATTCTCTTGCTATATTCATTTCCGAATCAGGAGAATCATCTTGTAACATTCGCAGTTCATTTATTGTATACAGTCGCTCATTACGATTACAAATGTTACGTTCAGCTTATAAACTACAAGGTAAAAATTTAAACATATCCATAGTTGAAGACTTAACTAAACGTGCTTTAACATTATTTCAAAATGAACGTTCTAAGTTAAATGGAGATCAAAAAAGTCCATTATCACACGTAATGGTCGTGTCTATCGTGTTAACAATGATAAAACGTTAACTCTCATTACATAAACAACCCCATTTAGTCTGTAAGAACGTATAGGTCCATGTGCTATTCTCTCTTCGTTTCTTCTTTTATTTCTTCACTACAGTTATAGTCACAATTGTATCAATGAACTTGCCGTACATGTATAGTTTTTCTTTTTCTTTGTACTTATCCTTGAGTAGGTAACAATGATATGATAGTTATTCTGTCACATGTGGTATCTACTGTTTCGATCGACTGTTTGATGCGTGATATATATAGTCTATTTTATACATTCATATATGACGTACCATAATGGTCATAATAAACCAGGCTGCAAGAATTATGATTGTCTCTTGATAAATGCAAATAGTATCATGGCGCGTATTGATGACAGTGTTAGGTTTCCGAATCGGGTTGATGTTACAAAATTAGAGATTTTATTTTTGATGTTAACAGATAGTAACCCTGGCATAGTAATGATAGTTGAGACATGGCTTGATAATTCTACAAATACAGATGATTTATTATTTCCGAATTATCAAACATTTAGACGTGATAGAGAAATAGGCCCAAATGGTTACGGTGGAATTCTAGTGTACGTTCGTAATGATATAGCTGCTCAAAGATACATGCAATTAGAGAAACAAAGTTTTGAGACAATGTTTTTTAAAATAAAATATTCAAAATATAGAACAGTGTTCTTAGCTATTTGTTATCGGCCTAAGTGGGTTGATGTCGATTCATTTACTAATCATCTCGAAGATGTTATTGATGAATTTAGAACTGGTACTAGTTATCATTTTAGTGATTTAATCTTCATGGGTGACGTTAATGGTCATTGTAAGTTACGGTACTCCAACTCAACCAAAGAAACTACTTCAGCAGGCTCGCACATATATGAATTTGCTAATAAATCAGCACTACTTCAACTAGTTGATAAAGCGACGCGACCTAAATCAGATACATGTTTAGATCTTATTTTTGTCGACAATTTAACATGTATACAATCAATACGGCTATTACCCCAATTATGTACTACATGTGATCATTTAATCGTTAAGGCCAAAATAAACTGTTCTTCGGAACCTGTTCTAGAAACTCAGCGAGTCATATATAATTATAAGGTAACTGATTGGGATAATTATCGCGCGGAACTTTCATATATGGATTGGTATTCAGTGATCCATGGCAGTTCTCTAGATGATGCAGTTTGTTTAGTACAAAATAAAATACTTGGTATTGCAAATTCCATTATTCCTCATAAAACAATAACTGTGTCCTCTAGAGATAAAGTCTGGTTTAATGAAAAGTTGCGTTTGATGCTATATGATAAAAATAAAGCGTTTTATTGATATCAACGAAACAAAACTGATAAAAATTTTCTTTCTTATAAAGAAATATCTAGGTCGTTTGAAAAGGAATGCAATACAGCAAAAAATCACTATTATACACAAATATCTGTTGATATAAGTACAAAATCAAAGAGATGGTGGACACTTGTCAAGCATTCTTTAGGTCGTACTAGTAAATCATCAATTCCTCCTATTCGATCTTCCTCTGGCAAACTTGTAAGCGAACACAATGAGAAAGCTGATGTTCTAAACGACCATTTTGCTTCTATGTGTACGATGAACAGTGAGATGGTTGATGACATACCCAAACCAATTAAGACGAGTAAGACTCTGATGTCAGTTTTTCTAATTTCTGAACCTGATGCTTTTGAAGCATTAAAGAGGATAGATTGTTCTAAAGCTTCAGCTCCTGGTATATCGCCGAGAATGTTAAAAGAAGCATCATGGACTGTATCCAATATATTAACTTATTTACTCAATGAATCGCTACGCCTTGGCTCATTTTCAAATTCATGGAAGTGTGGTTACTTCAACGCCCTCTTTAAATTTGGCGATCGGCATGATCCGAGACACTATAGGCCTATAACTCTTTTGCCCATTCTATCGAAAATATTTGAAAAGTTAATTTATAAGAAGCTAAACAGCTATTTAGTTTGCAATAGTCTGTTGAATAAGAATCAGTCTGGTTTCAGATATCGGGACTCATGTGTAAATCAACTTTTATCTATTGTTCATCATATATAGGGGTTTTGAAACAAAGCAATACATTCTATCTACTTTTTTAGATTTTTTCAAAGCTTTTGATTCAGTTTGGCATAAGGGCCTCTTATATAAGTTGGCAGATAAAGGAATACCTGAGCCCTTAATTAAGTGGTTTGAAAGTTACCTGTATGAAAGAGAAATTATGACTATGGTAGATGGCCATTATTCGTTCAGTACGTCGTATTAATAGAGGGATCTCTCAAGGATCTGTCTTAGGTCCCTTACTTTTTCTAGTGTACATTGACGACTTATGTGATGACCTAATAAGTGTTACCAAATTATTTGCTGATGATGCATCACTGCATATGACAGGCAATAATCTGCTGCAAATGGCTAATCAGTTAAATGGTGACCTTGAGAAAGTGTATAAATGGTCTATTAACTGGAAACTACCCTTGAATGCAGATAAATGCGTATCAATGTTATTCACATTAATAAAATCTCCGCAAATGCTAGCTACACTTCGAATTGGAGCAACAGTGCTCAGTTATGTTCAGTCGCATAAACACCTAGGGTTAATATTAACATCGAAATTGAACTGGACTAAACATGTTGACTATCTGGTACAAAAAGTGAATAAACTAATTGGGTTATTAAAACTTTACAGTAGAATTCTATGTCGTCAGGCACTTGACGTGGTTTATAAGTCCTTCATCATGCCCTGTTTTAATTACGGTAGTATCATATATGGTAACGCATCCGATTCCAATATTGAGCGTATTCAAAAGCTGCCTAAGTCACCTAATTATTTGTTTGACTTAATATCCTCCTCAACGAACAATTCAGTTCCCACTCATAACTGCAATACTCGTAGTCAGCAAAATGATCAGCACTGGCAGCCATCTCCCAGAATAAAAATGTTTAAAGAATCTTTTTTTACCAAGCTCGTATGGATTGGCAAGAATTACCGTTTAGTACACGAAGTATAACGAAGTTGAACTCTTGTAAAAAGAAAATTAAAACAACGGTCAAGAAAAGGCTTCCCATTGCAAATAATCGCTTAGATGAAATTCATTTTTGTCGATGTCGAGTTGATCGAACTCAGCCAAGACATGATTTGTACATTAGTAATCTCAGCGCTGACCCGTACTGTGTATGTGGTGCAAATGAGACACTTGAACACGTTTTCCTCCATTGTCCTGTACACAAAACCCAACGAAAACTGCTATTCTCTGAGATTGTTGACATAATGCCTACGGCAACTATAACAATGTCATTACTTATGCTATATGACTCTATGAAATATGAAGATATGATACAGATATATCATTCTGTTTTAAAATTTATATCTACCACTAATCGCTTTAAGCAGCCTGGATTCCCATTTGTCACGTATCAACAGTAAGTTCGATCGAGTGGTTGTTACATGTGATGAGAGTAAATTGAGCTGCAGTTCTACTTTGAGCATCATTAGGTTCAATAAAACCATTGTAACCAACAGTGCAAGTGTAACATCTCTTTAAGGATAAGATGAGTATTTCTTTTTCTTTCTTTTTTTCTGATTTCTTTCTTTTCTTGTTATGTTTTAGGTTCTTATGTTTACACTAGAAATAACCCGTGGAAAACCACGAACGCCCAGCATTTATATATGTTGTAAAAATTTTCTATGTTGAGCGTTCCGGACAGAAGGACAGATATGTGTATATTCTTATTCTTATTCTTATATTCTTATATTCTTATTCTTAATTCTTATTCTTATTCTTATGTATATATGTTGAGCGTTCCGGACAGACAGACAGACGGACAGATATGTCTTGACTATTCTGATATGTAATGTGTGTGTTTCTGTGTATAGTGCTAAAGTGGGTTTCTTTTAACCATTTGTGCTAAGATGACTAAATGGGATTGTTTATGTAATGAGAGTTAACGTTTTATCATTGTTAACACGATAGACACGACCATTACGTGTGATAATGGACTTTTTTTGATCTCCATTTAACTTAGAACGTTCATTTTGAAATAATGTTAAAGCACGTTTAGTTAAGTCTTCAACTATGGATATGTTTAAATTTTTACCTTGTCGTTTATAAGCTGAACGTAATATTTGTAATCGTAATGAGCGACTGTATAGACGTGCAATAATAGGACGATTTTTATCATTACTCCGTTTACCTGTACGATGACTATTTTCTATATCATTTGTTGTTATTGACATATCCAGATTGTTATTAATAACACTAACGATTTTCAATGTTGTATCTTCTGTGGCTTCTTCACTTATACCAAGTAAACGTATATAAAACGTTCTATTATAACGTTCTAAATCATCGATTTTTGCTTCTAATACTGATAAGCATTCTTCAAAATGCTTTAGTACGGGTTTTAATAATAGATTAGCCACTTTATCAACAACCATAGCAAGATTACTTCCATTATCATCATTAAAGTTTTGTTTTTGTCGAACATCATTACCATTCTGATCATCATTATGATGTGATATTATCATATTATGAATTGATTTACGTAACGTTTCATCATTTTTTAAACTATTTAATATGGCGTCTTTCATTTCATCTGCATTAAGTTTTGTTGATTGTGAACCTATATTTTGTCTACGTAAGTTATAATGACCCTTGTTATTTACTACTGATTTTACAGACATAATAACATGTTAATGAAGTTTATGATTTGTGCGATTGTAAGAATACAGCTATAAGTTATAATGTTCGATACTAAGAGAACATGCGCATCCTACTCTCTAAAAAAAATGGTTTATTACGAAACTTAAAAGGGTATAGAGAATTGCAACCATTTCTATACCCTTTTAAGTTTCGTACGAACCTAGGTTCCGGCGTTCAGCTACGAAACCTCTATTTTTTTTATTGAC